AAATCTAGAGAACCTCTCCATTCAACCTTTGGCAACCCCGGCATCGTCAACGCCACGATTTTTGCGTGACAGTCCAGAATAGCATGATATGGAGACAACCAATCCATATCAGGATTACATCGAAATCAACCATACCAAGTAATAAGAGATCAACTCCAGTCTCCAATTTCCCAAAAGTTACCACAAATGACCGATACATACGGTCCACAGTAATAATATCGCCCGCCGATGTAGATACACAAACACGTGAAACTAAGGACTCACATGGCATATTCAGATAATGAGAAAAATACGATGATACATATGAATAAGTGGAACTATGGTCAAATAATATAGAAGACTCCCTGTGACACACTGAAACAATATCTGTGATCACTGCATCTGAGGCAACGATATCTGGCCTGGCAGGATAAGCATAAAATCGGGCCTGACCGCCACCTGACCGGCCTCCCCTTCTTGGGCGACCCCTAGCTGTCTGACTCCCACCTCGAGCTGGCTGAGAGGGTGGTGTAATTGTTGGTGTCATTGGTCGAGAACTCTGCTACAGAGCCCCACTCAATAGCCTAGGACAATCTCTCTTGAAATGACTCAATTATCCGCACTCGAAACAACCCCTCCTCTAACGGAACTGCTGCTCCTGATAACTCGAAGAATTACTTGTAGAAGCCCGAGAAGACGAGGCATGATGAGAACTCTGCGCTGATAGTGCACTGAATGAAGATAAGTACAGACGTCTCCATACCGATTCGCAAGACTATATTAAACCTGCTCATGACTCGTGAGACCTATGTAAACTGGGCTTTGATACCAACTTGTCACGACCCAAAATCCCAACATGTCGTGATGGCGCCAATCTCGATTCTAGGCAAACCGATAATCTCAATAAAACATAATTTCTCTTAAGTTTGAAACTATAATATTTAAATACGATACAAAATCCCACAAATACTTATACGAACACTCCCCAAAACCTGGTATCACTAAGTGCATGAGCATCTAATATGGATACAAGTCAAAAGATAATGGTCAATAATAGTCTAAGACCAAATACAGTAAACAAGGAGATAGGGAAGGAGAGACAATGTCTGCGAAAATACGGCAGCTACCTCTGAATCTTCAGAAAATCAACTGTACAAGAAAATCAACACCCGCTATATCCAGAAGCACCTGGATCTGCACACAAAGTGTAGGGTGTAGTATGAGTACAACCAACTCAGCAAGTAACAAGAATAAATAAAGAATTGAAGATAGTGACGAGCTACACATTTATAGTTCATTTTCAGAAATTCCAACACAGAATAGACATGCTTTCAAATCCAGCAGTTTAAGTCAAATCAATTTATACAATTCATGTAATCCAAATATAAAATCTTTTAGAGAATTTCACAACAATGGCAACTAGCAACTAAGTGCAACAACAAATGAAAAGCAAGTACAGCCTCTCAGGACAACAATCACTCTACTCGTCACAATAACTCAACCACTCAGCTCTCAACCTTCAACACTCACACTCAATGGGTACCCCGCGCTCACTAGAGGGGTGTACAGACTCCGGAGGGGCTCCTACAGCCCAAGCGCCATAATTTGCACGGACAACTCCTGCGCTATAATATCCTACACGGACAACTCACGTGCCATAATATCCTTACCTCACCGACAGGCCCTCGGCCTTACTCAGTCCTCAACCTCTCTAGTCTCTCGGGCTCTCAGAACTCACAAAGATTAGCTCAAGCAAAGATAACATAGTGGATCAACAAAAATCCAGAAAGACTGAGGTATAATATGGAAGAAAAATCATGACTGAGTACAAGATAACAATTAGCAAATAACTCAATAAGTACGCGACATCTTTGGGCCCCAAAAATACTATAACATAGCCTACGCATGATTTCTAACATGATTTACAGTCAAATTTCTTCAACACATAGAGAGCATATAGCTAACAATAAATTATTAAACTATACAGTTTTTCCAGGATGGACCAAGTCACAATTCCCTCGGTGCACGCCCACACGTCCGTCACTAACATGTGCGTCACCTCCAAAATAATCACATGACACAACATTCTGGGGTTTCATACTCTTAGGACCAGATTTAAAACTGTTACTTACCTCAAAACGTAAAATTCTTTACTCTGCTATTCCTTTGCCTCGCAAATCGGCCTTTGAATGCCTCGAATCTAGTCACAAATAATTCGTTTCAGTCAATAAAATTTATTGGAATTAATTCCATAAGAAAATGCTAATTTTTCATAAAAATCCGAAATTTAGCTCAAAAATAACATGTGGTCCCACATATCGGAACTCGACAAAAGTTACAAAATATAAACTCTCATTCCACCACGAGTTTAACCATACCAAAATTACTAAATTTCGATAACAATTCGGTTCTCAAATCCTCAAATTTATCCAAGAGGGTTTTCAAACTTTTCCAACTTAATTCACCAATTAAATAATAAAAACAACCATGGATTTGAGTAATTTAATCAATATTGAGTTAAGAACACTTACCCCGTTATTTTCTCTGAAAATCTCCCAAACATCGTCTCTTCCCGAGCTCTAATCCGTAAAAAATTAAAAATGGGACGAAGTCCCATTTTTAGAACTTAAACTCTCTGCCCAGACATTTGCTCTACATGATCGTGAACATTCCCACGCGATCGCGAAGAATAATTTTCCATCGCCCAGATTTAACCCTACGCGATCGCGATGCACAATATCACACACCTATACGATAGCGGACCAAACCATGTGATCGCGAAGCACAAACGCGTGATTGCCATTTCCGCCCAATTTCCTCTACGCGAACGCGACCTTCTTCACGCGTTCGCGAATAACAAACTCACATAATTACGCGATCGCGTCCCGCTTCACGCGATCACGAAACACAAAATATCACTGTCTCAAATTAACCCTATGTGATCGTAAATATTCCCACGCGATCGCGTAGAACAAAACCCCCACTGACCAACTAAGCCTACGCGATCGCAGACGCATTCACGCGATCGCGTAGAAGGAAAGCAACATGAGATATTAGAAAATTCCAGCAGTTGTTCAAGTCCAAAATTTTTATCCGTTAACCATCCAAAATTCACCCGAGTCCCTCAGGACCTCAACCAAATATACCAACAAGTCCTAAAACATCATACGAACTTAGTCGAATCCTCAAATCACCTCAAGCAGCGCTAAAATCATGAATTACACCCCAATTCAAGCCTAATGAACTTTGAAATTTCTAATTTCTACAAATGACTCCGGAACCTATCAAATCACGTCCGATTGTCCTCAAATTTTGCACACAAGTCATAAATAACATAAAAAAGGTATTCCAATTTTCAGAATCGGATTCCGACCCCGATATTAAAAAGTCAACCCCCGATCAAACTTTTCAAAAATTAAACTTTCGGCATTTTAAGCCTAATTCCACCACGAACCTCCAAATAATTTTCCGGACACGCTCCTAAGTCCAAAATCACCATACAGAGCTATTGGAATCATCAAAATTCAAATCCAAGGTCGTTTACACATAGGTCAATATCCGGTCAACTTTTCTAACTTACATTTTTAATTATGAGACTAAGTATCTCATTTCACTCCAAATTTCTTCCGGACCCGAACAAACTAACACGGTAAGTCATAAAATAATTACAGAGCATAAATTAAGCAGTAAATGAGGGAACGGGGTTATAATACTCAAAACGACTGGCTGAGTCGTTACAACGATGGAGTAAAGACCTGAGTGAGGACGGTAGGTGGGGACTCAGACCATTTTCCGGTTATGATGAGATTGCATCAGGGGTCGGCACTCAACCCTTTTTTGTTTGCTCTGGTGATGGACGTACTGACGTGCCACATCCAAGGAGAGGTGCTGTGGTGCATGCTATTTGCAGATGATATTATATTGATTGACGAAACGTGAGACGGTGTGAACGCGCAATTAGAGGTATGGAGGCAGATCCTGAAATCTAAAGGTTTCAAGTTGAGAAGGACCAAGACAGGATACTTAGAGTGTAAGTTCAGTGGCGAGACTCAAGGATGGGAATGGGAGGTGAGGCTGGACTCGCAGGTCATCCCTATGAGAGAGAGTTTTAAGTACCTTGGGTCTATTATTTAGGAGGATGAGGAGATTGATGAAGATGTCATACATCGTATTGCGGAGGGATGGATGAAATGGAGACTCTTTTTCGGTGTTTTGTATGAGAAGAAGGTGCCACCGAAATTTAAGGGTAAGTTCTATAAAGTGGTGGTCAGACCAACGATGTTGTATGTGGATGAGTATTGGCCAGTCAAGATCGCTCATGTCCAGAAGATGAAGGTAGTAGATATGAGTATGTTGAGATGGATGTGCAGGCACACCAGGTTAGATAGGATCAGAAATGAGGTTATTCGCGACAAGGTGGGTGTGGCCCCTATTGAGAACAAGATGCGTGAAGCGCAACTTAGGTGGTTTGGTCATGTGAGGAGGAGGAGCACAGATTCCCCGGTGAGGAGGTGTGAGAGGTTGACATTGGAGGGCCTACGGAGAGGTAGAGGTAGGCCAAAGAAGAGATGAGGAGAGGTGATTAGGTAAGACATGGCGCATCATCAGTTGACCGAGGATATAACCCTTGATAGAAAGGTATGTAGGTCGAGGATTAGGGTAGTAGAGTAGGTAGTCTAGAGTATTCATAACAGTAGTATTGACACGTATTCTCGCTTTCTGTTGGTAATAGGTTTTTATGACTAACTGTTATTTTCTTTCATTGTTGATCACTTTACTGTCTTGTTGTTTTTATTCTGCTTTTATATGGCTTTTTGGTACTGTCCTTTCTTGTCTATATTTTCATTAATGTGGTGCTTATACTTCCATGAGCCAAGAGTCTATTGTAAATAACATGTCTATTCTCACAAGGTAGGGGTAATATTTGCATACACATTGACCTCCCAAACCTCACGGTGTGAGATAATAACGGGTATATTGGTGTTGTTGTTGTAAGTAAATCGCAGCAACTGCCAACCTTATAAATGATCCGACCCGATGGGAACAACCACTCTTACATTCCCGACGGGTCAACCAATGAGGACCCATTTGTGTTCCTCCTCCTATGCCCTTCTCTTCAACACTGCGCCATTATTAACTGCTCCCCTCAGTAGACTTGCAATGGCAAGAAGCCACTCGTCGAAGGATTCACAGCCTAAAGTTGACAAAATGCAACAGCTAGTTCATTCTGACCCTTCTGGTAAAACCCTTTTTTTTTGGGGGGGGGGGGGGATTGGCTATATGAATTCTTACTGTTGTTTTGCTCCATTTGCATCTGTTTCTTTCCAATGTTCAATAATTATGATTTTTCTCAAGAAAAATTGAATCTTTTTATTACTTCTTTCGTCTCATTTTATGTGGTATAGTTTTAGTTTTAAAGAAAGGAAGAGAGACTTCTGAAACTTGTGTTATAAAACAAGCTATAGATATTTATATGACTATAAATATCTAATGGAAAGTTTTATACCAAATTGTGTTTAAATAACTAAAGTATGATGCTCTTTTGGACAGAGTAAAAAGGAAAATATGTCACATAATTTTGCTCCATTTGCATCTGTTTCTTTTCAATTTCCAATAATTTATATTCTCCCCAAGAAAAAATGGATCTTTTTTTTCTTAATGTTACAAATTCACATATGTAATTGATAGGTGGTTGGGAGAAATGCTGGGAGAAGGGGTTGACACCCTGGGATTTAGGGCAGCCTACCCCAATACTTGTTGATCTTCATCAGAGAGGTGCCCTTCCCAAAGGCAGGGCTTTGGTCCCTGGTTGTGGCAGTGTAAGTTGTTTTGTTCTATCTCCTGATTCGTTCATGGGGATCAAACTACATCATGATGTTGTACTTCTTGCTTCATTCGTTGTGTCTTATAACTTGTTTTGTGAATCCTCTACATTCAGTCCGGTTTGATCGGGCCAGTTTCATTATAATACTCAATGATTTATGCTTTAAGAAAAAAGTTAGGTTTTCTCTGCTAATTGTGTAATGGTAATATCCAGAAATTAAGAGGCCATGCATGCTCAATTTGCATAATTATGGAAGGATGGCTGACTGTTATAGTTTCTGATTTTTCCTCATGAGAAAAGTAGTATGTTCATTTTCAGAAAGAAAAAGAAAAAAAAAGTCAAGTAGAATGTTTTCTTCTGATTAATACATGAACTTGAGATTGTCCCCAGGGCTTTGATCTATTGGCCAGAGCGCAGGGCTTGATGTGTGGGTTAGGCACACGTCACAAGTTCAAACCCTGCCGTAGAGAAAACGTGGTAATTAAGTGGAAAAGGGTAGAGTGGCGTACCCATTATTCATCGAGTTTTGAGCCATGCGCTATTGGCCCTTAGGATTTCTAAAAAAAGAACATGTGATCAACCATTTATTTATATGCAACATGTGGTTCCAATATTGTTGTTATTAGGCCATTTGACACCAAATGTTCATGGGTCTAATCAACTGATTTGGTCTTCCGATTTTTTTTCTTTTCTTCATTGCACCAAAAGCTACCTCTCTTTCTCTTTTACTGTTTTGATACTGTTTCGTTTTGCTTAGTGAAGTATATGTGCAGGGTCATGACGTGGTGGCAATTGCATGTCCTGAACGCTTTGTTGTTGGCTTGGATGTATCAGAAAATGCTATTAAGCAAGCTACAAAAGTAAGAGCTAATACTTTTGATCACTTCAATCTGGTGTGCTAAAACCAGCGTTGGGGCGAGCGTGAAGCAAAGCGAAGCGAAGCGACAAGGCCCCATATCTGAGCCTTGAAGACGTCTTCAACTTATGAAAACCCTAGCTCCGTTGAGTCGCACAGCTTTTGAATGTGGACTCGCAGGTGCAGCAGACAAAAATTAAACTCTTCAGAAAGTTTTTTTCTCTAAATTAAACCCTTTAAAACTTAAAAGAAAGTAAAGCGCACGCTTCACGCTTCACGCTTCACTCTTAGAAGCGTATACTTCATCGAAGCCGCATCGCGTTCCCCATCTGAAGCGACTTCCTTACTGCTTCGCTTAGCTTTGCTTCTCGCTTTAAGCGCAGAAGCGAGCGGTTTCCCCAACACTGTCTAAAACCTCCTTATAGAAATGGTTCAAAGACTTGTCTTCCAAAACTGAATATTATGCAACCCCTCTGCTTATTCTTCACTACTTACTCTTATCTTGATGTATAGCTTACTTGTTAATGCAATGTGCAGTGGAAACTAAATAACTTCCCGACTGTTATCTTTGGCTGAAGAATTCGATTCCGTGAACGATACTCATCTTCTTGCTTCCTTTGGAAATTTGACTTTTCGTTGTCGAGGATCAATAATTTGAACAAATCTCTTTAAATATAATGTTAGAGTATGTTCCCTGTAGACTAAAAGGATCATGATTCATGACTACTGGAGAAATGCCCTTTCTCAGAATCCAACTAGGGGAGGTCCTAGCTCTGAAACCATTTGAGATCAGTGGCGGACCCAAGATTTTATACAAGCGGGTTCAGTAAAAGATGAGTGACTATTCATATAAGTAGTGTCGGGTAAAAAAAGTAGGGTTTGAATTCTTAAATAATTTAAGCAAATGTACTTTCATGTTTTATCAAAATTTAAGAAAGAAACAACCAAAATCACTTTGTAGATAGGTTAATTTTTGAAGTAGGTAACATTGTAGAATAATTTTTATTGATTTCAATAAAAAAAAAAAGTGAAATAAAAAAAAAGATAAAAGTAAGAATAATAAATTCATAAGGGACTACGCACATAACTCTGGCCCGCTAGAAATTACAAAACAAAATTTACAAGCGCCACAAGAGGGATTCGAACACAACACCTTACTTACATTTTGAACCCTCTTTACCACCTCAACAGACAACGCTTTTGGTTTCAAGTGGGTTCAAATTTTTATTTCTATACATATTTTCGCTCTTTCAAATATAATTTACCAATATACACAATGTAATTTATCAGCGAAGTGGGTTCAACCTCGCTTGACACCATGTGGGTCCGCCCCTGATTGAGATTATGTGGTGGCAACAATTTCTTGGAAATTGGATGATGGAAGGTGCTTTTGATCTTAGCTGGACGCATAGTGCCTTAGCTATCACTGTATGCCTTCTGGCTGTCCTTTTATGTTTGAGCAACCCTGGGGGTGATGATGTTTGAGAGTAATGTTTGCTAGGAGCCACCATTCTGGTGTAAGGAAGAGGGGGCTTAGTTTAGGTAATTTGGCGTGCAAAATAATCTCTTTCTGGAAGAAAGAATGATTGGATCCTTGAGAACCTAAAAATAGAAACTGATAAGGAGCTAGAAGTAGCCAGCTATGGACGGAATGCAACTCTCAAATTTTCTCTTGCATGCGTATGCTTATTACCTTCCCTTTTGTTTTATTGGGTGGATAAATTTACGTTCTTCACTTGAAGGAGGAGCTTTAGCTTTCGGTCTGTTATAAACTTCTTTGATCACTTAGCTAAGTCTTTCTCAGTTTGGTTGTTGATATTGCTGTGTGATTTTGATATTGGAAGTTTCAGCTTTTCGTCCAGAATTTTGAGTGACACAGAAGCTCAACCATGAGACTCTGCATTTAACTTTTCCATTGTCATTTTGGTCTAAGGAAATGCTTTTTGGAGTAGTAGTTTAGCCAACACTAACATTAATGCTTCATATGTTGTCTGTTGTTCTTGAGGACCCATTTCAATATATAGTTCTAACTTCTTGAAAGTTCAGAGACCAGGTTTATAGTGGTGATTCTGTTGGTTTTGTTCATACATTCTGATGATTTCTCAAAGTATCTACACCTTATTTTTGCACAAGGTAGCTGTTTTCATCATCAAAAAGGGCGGAGTATTTTGCTTTTCTAGAGGCAGATTTCTTCACCTGGCGTCCCACTCATTTGTTTGATCTTATCTTTGACTACACGTAAGGTTGACATGACCATGTGTTTATTATCTTACGAAATGACCAGTTATGTGACAGCATTACTTTCAAATTGGCAGTTTCTTTTGTGCCATTGAACCAGAGATGAGAGCACAATGGGCCAGTAGAATTCGAGATCTTCTAAAACCAGACGGGGAGCTTATTACACTGATTTTTCCGGTTTGTCAATAGTTCTTTTTCCATTAAATTTCTTCCCTTCTCGTTTACAAACGTATGATCATTTAATTTCTTATGAAATAAAGAGTTAATAATATGATTGAAGTTACCTATAATATCATAGGAAATTTTATGTTATGCTCATGTAATAGATCCAATATAGGACTCGTTATTTTTCAAGTAAGTATCCTACATTATATCAGTGAAATTATCAGTGTTAAACGTTTTCGTACTATTGATGGAAACATCATTTACATGTGCTCTTACCCCCAAGGGGAAGGGGCAAAAGATAGTCGCATTGCCAGGTCAAACCTACAATATGCTAAAAGGGTTAGTAGCTCACTGTAACAATTTACTATGAGTTGGTAGATTTGCTATTCTTGGCATTATTTCCTTTCACTTCTCCCTCGGTTTTGAGATTCTTGTTGTTTTCCAGATAAGCGACCATGAAGGCGGGCCTCCATATAAAGTATCAGTTTCCGAGTAATCTCTATTTTCTTTAGTCTCTTTCTAGATCTGCTCCCCTCAGAGACTTCTCATCTTGTTGTGTTAAAGTTTGCTGAATATTTATCTAGTTTCTTTCATGAGTTCATTCAAATGAATGACTAATTGTTATGATTTCTCTGAGTAGTTATGAAGAAGTCTTGCACCCCCTGGGGATCAGGGCAGAGTCCATCGTGGAGAATAACTTGGCTATTCCACCTCGGAGAGTGAGTACATTTGCTTAAATTTAAGCAGTGACACTTGGCATATTTCGTTTGCTTCGCTGCACGACACTTGCATATTTCTTTGAGAAAAGTTCATTGCTATCGAGAGCCTTAGCTCTTCCTGCGCATTCCCATAAGAACAACGCTAGGAATCATTCATATTAAAGACTGATATTTGGTGAACACCTGGTTGGTTGTTGTTTTGCGTATGTGAATCTGAGACCTCTTGATTTCTGCATAATGACATGCCATCGAAAATGAAATTATGCATACGTGAATTGTAATCTTATTGGGAATGTAGTTTTCTCTAAGGTAATTTCTCCCTGCCATAGGAGTCTTAAGTACTATGCTTTCTTGTTATCTTTATAGGGAAGAGAGAAGCTGGGAAGGTGGAAAAGGTCCATATGCAAATCCTTCCTTTGAATATCATTTCAACCTTGTTGGTTTTCATTCTCAGGTTGTGCCATCTGTTCTGTGGTTCCTCCCAATGTATATTGTTAACAAACACACAAAGCATTATATTTACACAGGAAATTAATAGTGGGAGTTGGTTCTGATAAATTGGCAAGTGAGACCTATTAAAGTCCTCTTGTCCATTAATAAACCAATCTCACGTACCTTGTGTTTGGTTATGCAAGGCATGTATTAAAATTTCTCATGGGTACTCAATTTGGGTCCATCTAATGGTATACTTAGCTGTTTGGGCCAAAGAGGAAGATATAGTGTTTTTTAAAAGCTTTAAAAGATGCTATTAATAATACAGTATCGTGTAACTATGTCCATACCATATTATATTATAAATAAAGGATACATCCATTTTTTTTTATTAGTCATTTTAGTGTCTAACTTGCTTATATTATGTAGACATGCATGTTGTTAGAGTTTCCCCTCTTGGTTGTGGAAGTGAGTTGTCTTTCTTATATGGTCTTGTGTAATCCTTATCATGAGATAACTTTCAGGGTTGAGTTAGACTTGGCGTTTAATTTCTTTAATGAGTCGTTTGGTACATAGGATAAAAATAATAATCCCGGGATAAAGTTTGGGATTAATTTTAACCCATGTTTGTTTGGGGTATTAGTTAATTCCGGGATACCTTTTACACTAAAATGGTGAGATTAGTTATCACATACAGAAGGTGGGATAACTAATCTTATGGGATATCCCACCATTGTACCAGATGACCCCTTCATGTAGTATTAGAGCTAAGCCTATTTATGTCTTGGTTTACTCAATGTTGATACCCCATGTTATGTTCATGCTCAAGGTATTGAGAGAAAAGAGTTCTTGTTTTCTTATATGATCTTGAGTAATCTCCATCTTATGAATCTTTGGGGTGAAGTTAGGGTCAAGGTTTATTTTTTATGGCTTTATACACAAGTTAACATCTTTACTTGCACAGTTTACTTACTTTATTGTTTTTCAACTAAATACTTGACAAGCACCTCTACCTCCAACCTTAAGATTGCGGTTTTCAGTCACCAAGGGAGCAAAGTAGGGAAGCTTCTAAGGAGGGGTTAAAAAAAAAAAAACTAAATGCCTAAAGTTGATCAGAACATGTCTTTTAATCGTTGATCATTCTTATGTGACGTTCATTTGATTGAGTTAGATAGTTTGTTAGAATCAGTAAATGTGCTAAAAACTTGTCACCTAAGGCCCGGGGCGTATGTAGCCTTATAATAGCGGGTTCAATTGAACCCATAACTTTCGACGCGGGGTACAAATTTATATGCAAAAAATCACTAAAATCAATAAATTATAGATATGAACACATAACTTTAAGGATATAATGAGTTCAGTAGTAAAAATTTTTTAAAATTAATGGATTCGCCTAAGGCTAAGGGTGGAAAAAATACTTTTCCTATCTCCATTTTTCTTCCTCGAATGTCTAGTTCTCCAATGAAGCTGTTTTGATGGGAGGGGTAGAAGGGAGAATTTCTTACAAAATCATTTCCCACGAAGCCCAATTCTTAATCAAAACATCCCCAAATTATTAGAATTTGAACTCTCATTTTCCATGATTCTCAGTTTATTACCCACTTCATTAACCCATAGGTGATACACTTTATATGGTATGGATATGAATGTGCTATGCACATAAGTGCAACTGATATTTAAAGCATGTGTCCGTACCATCTTAATATGTTTAATTGAGAAATCGCAAAATTAAGAAGTTGAATTATAGAACCGTGCAAGATGTCAATGAGTATTAAAGTATTAAACTTTCTTTATTAAGCAAGTGGACTAGTTGGGATAACTATTGGATAACAACTAAAGACGTTCACTCACAATTAACAAGGAAAAGTGTTGTATAAGTATAACTATATATGCATTGTGCACGTCGAAGTTTAATTTTCAAAAATAATCTTTGTGGTGAACCTCTTTCCTTATTAAAATAACATATAATGTGAAACATGATCTCCAATGTTCCAAGATTTAGCAACATAGTTCCATTAGATCTATTTCTATTTTAGTGTAGGCAAGTGGCCAAATATGACTTCTCTCTAACAAGTCTCCCAAAAAGCAACGCCACTAAAATGTCCTATCATTGCAGTGGCAGAGGGGTAGTTAAGGATTCACGTAATCGCTCAATTTCAATTTAGGTTATATAGTTTGACTTTAAATGATGTAATTTAATTTGACATAAATTTTAAGAATTTTTTTTTTTTAAAAAAACATGTAATGCTAAAAGCTTAAGAGACAAAAGTTTAGTGGTTGTGTGACTATAAAAACTTTTCATTAAAAGTAAAGTGAGTAAAATAAAATATTTAAAGTTAAATTATTTCTAAATAAAGAAATGTATCATTTTTTTGGAATAAGAAAAGTGTGTCATTTAAATTGAAACGGAGAAATTAATTGATTTAGAGGGTTAGATACGGATTCAGATCCTGAATCCGCTTCACCTACCTACCAAACCACCCCAAAAGAAGAACAAAAAAACTAATAAGAGAAATTAAAACAAAAACAAAAAAGAGAAGCATTAGGAGGGAAGAACAGTCAATGTCAACGAGTGTAGTGATAACCATGATGATTTTAGAACCAAATACGTTGATAAGTTCTTTTGTTATCTGTTTTCGTGCTGTTCCTTTCTTTTTAATTAAATATTTTTAAAGTATACTTTCTTTAAAGAAGAGTAAGACAATAGTCAATAGGAAATGACAACCAAGGAGGAAAAAAGATCGAGATATGTATCTTGCACAAGTTGAGTATAGCGTCAAACTGCTATTGCATGTAAATACAAATGCTTGTCTTTCTTTTACATTCTCCCCCCNTACGTCCTTCAATGTTTCCCTTTAATTCAAAATATAGTATACTAATTTCAGCACAGAAAATATAACCAAAAAAGGAAAGAAGATACATTAGTATACTATAGTTGTATAATATTCTTTTAATTCAAAATAGGATGCAAAGAATATTATATAAATGTAGATAATATAAAAATTGACAATCATTGTATTATATAGTTCATATGCTTTTCTTTTGATGAATGTCTGATTCATTGCATAGAAACTAAGATATTTTAGGTTTAGTTTACACTAACTTTTAAAGTAAATAAAAATTAGAAAGATAAAATCAAGGTATTCTTTTGTGTGTTTTATCCCCATAACATAAAGAGGAACTTTCATAAAGCACTATAGTTTAGAGTCTAATCACCATATGTAACTATAGTTTGCCTAATTAACATTATTAGCTATTGTGTATCAATTGTCTTCATTTAGGCAATTGTATACAATTTCGTAGTTAGTGTTAAATTGTTATTAGCTTGTATCAAGCTTGTATCACTTCAGACGTGCAACTGTATTCGTTGGCGAAATAAAGAAATATAGAAAAATAGAATGCTCTCATTAAGAGTCAAACTCAAGACCTCCGCTTACTAAGTGGGCGCTCTAACCTATTGAACTATAAGAACTTGTTGCTCTCTTGTTTCAGTTAAAAATAATTGATCTCTTGTTTCCGTACTACATATGGATTTGCTATAAAATTTAAATATAGCTACGAATGGTAATTTTCTGAAAGTATAGCTACAAATGATAAATATAACGTATATATTTGCCATGTCGCATAATTTTTCCAGACATAAAGTTAATCTCCATATAGGTTAGCTCATATTAAATTCGGTATAAAATAATTAAAATTAACGTATTGTTATGAATAGAATTGTACTTAGAGTGAATGTCTATCTTTTAAAGAGTTTGCTACTTTGTGGCTAAGTTATTTTTCTCCCTATAAATAGAGGGGTTTTATCCCATTGTAAATCATCTGAAATTCAATAAGAATTACCTCTCTCTTTTCCTTGCAATATTATTCTTTTTCTTATTGTTTTATTTCACGTTATCAGCACGAGACTCTACCGTCTCAAGAAGCTCTTTGAGAAGACTAAGGTATAGCTTTTCTGCTCTTTTAATAATGTCTGATATTATGAAATGAAAGTTCGTTGCCCTTAAAATTTCGGGCAAGAACTATATGTCGTGGGTGTTGGATGCTGAAATTCATTTTGATGCAATGAGTCTTGCAGACGCCATTAAAGATAAAAATAAAGCATCTATCCAAGACTGTGTTAAGGCCTTGATTTTCTTGCGCCATCACCTTGATGAAGGGTTGAAAATAGAATATTTCACAGTCAAAGATCCACTTGTTTTGTGGAATGGCTTAAAGGAAAGATATGACAACTTAAAGTTGGTCACACTTCCACAAGCACAATATGATTGGGCTCATCTGAGGCTCCAAGACTTTAAGTTTGTCTCTGAATACAATTCGGCGATATTCATAATTACTTCTAAATTGAAACTCTGTGGAGATACTATGATATGCTTGAAAAAACGTTCACAATGTTTCATGCCTCCAATATGGTCCTGCAATAGAAGTATCGAGAGAAGGGTTTCAAGAAGTATTCTGAGTTGATTTCTCTTCTCCTTGTGGCTGAACAAAACAATGACTTGTTCATGAGAAATCATGATAATCGACCCACTAGGTCTACACCATTGCTTGAAGTGGATGGGGTGTATTCCCATTATGCTAAGCGTGAAAAAGGCCGTGGCCCTATTCGTGGTCGTGGCCGTAGCCGCGGCCGTGACTCTATTCGTGGTCGTGGTCGTAGCCGCGACCGTGGACAAGGAAGAAATTTTCCTGGTGTTAATCATCCCCCGCAGAAAAATAACCACCAAAAGTGGAAAGGGAAAGATGAGAAGCGAAAGGCAAATGCTTCAGAAACTGAATGCTATTGTTGCGGTGAAAAAGGGCATTGAGCATATATTTGTCGTACACCAAGATATTTGGTTGACTTTATCAAGCATCTCTAAAGAATAAAGGCCCTGAAACTAATTTTGTCTATGACAATGAATTTGACATCACCCACTTGGATGTGGCAGATATTTTTGAGCACTCTGATGAAAAAATAGATCACTTGATCGGTGATGGATCCGTGGTTAAAGATGATTGATTATTTTTGCATATTCGTATTAGCTAGTGAATAAACATCATGTAATCACAGTTCTTTACATGAATAGTAGTCATTAGTATTAATTCGTATTATTTATTTTATGCGATAGTGTTAATTCGTTTTGATTAAATATAATTAGTATCCGTTTTAAACAATGTTTCAGTTTGCTTAGTTTTCAAAGATTAATATATTCTTTATTAAAGTAACGTTATGATTTTGTGAAAAGAAAATTTAACATTTGCAAATAGCCAAGTTAACAGATCATGCGAAAGCTACTTCAATTTTTTCCAAGGAAATTCAAATCTTCAATTTCTTTTGTGGTTTATTTTTCCGCAACTGACATGCTAAGT